TTATTTCAAAATCTATCTTTAAGGAACAGATTTTATAAAGGGATTTTTTTAGTTGTAGGAAGACGCCTTTTTTTTTTATTGTTGCAATTTTCGAAAAATCAGAGATATCAACGAAAATGAGACCTGCATCATTCTCATAAATGTCCATTACACTATCCGACAACTTAATTTAATCAAAAACGCTGGAGCCATTTTTTTGAAAATATTCCCAGGGGCTTCATGTAAAGTACTCCCCGAAATTAAAATATCGGTTTCAAATTGAAGGGGCCGTTAAAACTGTCAGATTGATTGAGGAATATCAATATTGGAGAAAATCGTCTGAATGGTTTAGCCGCTAGCGTTGTTCACAGACGGACGGACTACAGAGGAACAGTCGTTTTGCCGTCGATCAATATTTCGATGTCACGGACCCACAAAACATGTATTCTGGCTTCTCGAGTTAAAGGATTTTTTTAAATTTAGCATCTGAATTTATTCACCTTTTGTTTGCCAGGGCCCTGAAATATCCTTTTCTGCTGAAAATGTGCCGGTTTTTCACGCAGCATTAATTATCTTTCTCTTTACTGCGAAAGCGAGAAAGTTAAAATTTCTTTTGCACAAATACCAAAAATTAACCAGTAATTGAAGAGTTTTGTAAATATTTTGTCTTATAACATTTTTTCATTAAATTGGCAATACCGAAAATGTGAAATTCTTATATTCACTCACTTAATTTGCAAATCCTTAACGTTGTAATTGGTTACCATGACAAGAACGTTGTTACTAAGCAGCGTGCTTGTTTTGGTTAGGATCAACATGGCAGCCACGTTTTGGAGATAATTTTATTTAATAAAGTGATTCATCAATGGAATATTGTTAGAATAATGCACACACGTTCACATACCATTATTTCGCTCTACTTGAAGTTGCTCACTTTTCGGCAGGATCTCAAGGCAGTTTCATGTTTGCTTTATAAGAAAGATATTTAGACTTTTTATTGCTATTTATTGACACATGTTATCTACTGTGGATCTTCACTCAACAAAGTTATCGATATTAGATATGCGATTGAATCGTAATTTTTTCATAGGCCGCTACCTCTTCAACCAACACCACCACTCTCACCACCCTAATCGAATGACACCAGAGGACGTCTCTTCCCATACTGCCCCTTGATCCTCTTCGCTCTGCAAGCCGCATCGCTACAGTTGGTGTATCCTCTTTCGTTGACCTCACCTACTTACACTGCTCGATCGATAACAAATTTCTATCACGTTTTCTTATACTTGGGCTTAAACGTAGTTGCACTTGACGTAAATCAGCTGCTACTGTGTCATCCAATCGGGAGGTTGAACGTCCCTGTAGTGACGTGTAAGCTCCCGATTTGATGACTATGTAACAGCTGATGATCTGTCAAATGCAGCTCTAAATAAATCGGAGTAATGTGTTAATATATAATTTTTATCGTAACTTAACGTAAATAATGTATCATTATAAAAACTTTTTTTATTTTCATTTTTACACAGCCATGGTGTTTACAGTTGCCAGATTGGGTGGAATTCCGCTCTTGGGGCTGGTAAACTGCTCTCTCTCGCTGGACAAAAATTGATTTCGCGGAATACCATCCAATGGGCGGAAATGCATCAAAAGTGCGGTTTTGGGCGTGTTTTCAAGTGACGCCAAAATTTTGAAAAATCAACCACAACGATGTTGACAGAATTTTGATTTTTGAATTTTTACTTCCTACAAGCTTTTTTATTAATTATTTGTTAATTTCTTCAAATTTACTGTGAGAATTTCGTAATGTCAGTTTTTAAACCTCTCGTATAGAGCGTGTTCTAAAAGTCATAGCGGCTGGCCAGTATTTACGAAGCGCTGCCAGGCAATCCCCTGGCAGCCTGCTATTTGGGGACCCGTTTTGCCCGGCTGGTGGGCTGGTATGGGAAATTATTTTTCTTTCTACTTGGTACTGTATTTTATCATAAAAGTGATAGCAATAACACTTTCACAATGGTATTTTGTGTACTCGTTGGTATGGGAGATGGATTTGCAGTTTGTTTTCGTATTCCAGCTGATTCCATGTGCATTCGAGATGTAGTTGTAGTGGCTGTGTTTCAGTGTGTTTTTTGTTGTTTTTGCATAATTTCTCATTATAATGACCCAGTTTTCCTCCTTTGGGACTTTCTTTGGATTTCGATTAGTGTTCATTTGTTACCTTTCCTACATTTCTTACCTACATTTTCCCCCCTTTATTATGACCAAGCATTATTTTGGAACATTATGATGGGAAAATCAGGGCCTCTCGAACCCGTAGCCGCCGGCAGAGAAACGTACTCACAAATAGAACCCCGAGAAATACATGAGGGTGGCAAGAATGCGCTGGAATTCAAATATTGTCCGTCACTTATGGCGAAAATACGATATATATTCTTGAAATTGCGCTTCTGATTTAGATTTTAGGAAGCATTTTTCGAAAATATTATTTCGGAAACTGAGTTTTAAAGGATACTGTATTAATGTAATAAAATGTATTTCTACTCGTAGTGTAAGACTCCCAAAATTTCCTTCCTGCATTCTGTTCTGAACGTCTCACGTAGTTTCATTTTTCATTGTCTGTATTTCTCTATTCACTTCTTAATATTTTAATTTTCTCTCATGTGAACCACTTCTAAAGATTTATTAAATAATTTGTATTGCAACAAAACCAATCATTCTTCTCAGTTTGCACTTTTCCCCCAACCGTCAATTTATGATTAATACTCTAAAATATTTCAAAACTATTCTTGTTGTGTCATCACACATCATTTTTATTAGTTCTACTACCATGTACGCTATTCTGAAACAATTTCTGAATTACATTTTTTGAAATATTTTTATTTTACTACATTACTGTACTAGTATTTACTATTTTACTATATTTCTTGTTACAAAGAAGAGGATGGATTAATTTACAAAAAATATAGGTTTTAATTTACAGAGAATTGATTTTATTACAAATAAAACAAAAATACAAGAGCATGATTTTTACAGTTGTGGAAAATTGTAATCGCACGGTAAGTTCTGTATCTACAGCAAAATAAACAAAATTTAGTCCCAATTTTATACGAAAAGATGAGACACTCAAATTAAACCTCACCGACTTGCTATTAACACTGCAAAATATGAAGAAAATAAAAAAAAACTTATTAATGAAACATTCAATACCATATTTTTCTATTTCATTTTTTATTTATTTATTCTTGGTTCATGTATTTAGAACAGATTATTATTATTAATATTGAAAATAAATAAATAATTCAAGTAAATGTGCATTTATTATAGCAACAGTTTCGAGGATATTATTATCCTCATCATCAGGCTAGAATATTTTATTTTGAAAATAATTCATATTATCATTCAATGTAAAAGAAATAATGACAATAATGATTTGATCAAATGAGAAACTAATTAATGATTACTCAATATAAGTCATTTGAAGCTTACCTTAAATATTAATTGTCAAAAGCTTTAAATTCAAAGTAAGTTAAATGATGTACTATTTTTTTAAATGAAGTGTCAAGGCAGAGAGCCTTGGTATCGTAAACAACCATGTTATATTTTAAGAAGGTTGTGCCATATTATGTAATAATACAATTTAGCGGAATTTGGAGCTAATTTTCACATAATAGTTGGTTGAGTGTTCGAGAAATTTTTATTTGACATTATTCTAATTTTTTATTAAATTTTGTTGTTGATTAGTGCAAATAACGTTTAAGAGAATGGTGCAGGTTTTGTTTTTGTTGTCATCCCCAATGTTTGGGAGAAAAAAAAAGCATTTCAAACTACAAAATGAAGATAAAGGCTTTTGTCTGAGACATAGTCTGAAAACAAATTAAGTTATTGAACAAAATAAGCTCTTTAAAAAAGTCATGTACATTTGTTTGAGAAAACGACTAGTTTTTACGTAATTTCTGCTTGAAATTAATGAAATATGTACAGTATTCATACGAACTACCAGCCTCAAGAGAAATTAAGTAAATGATATGAAAAATGATTAATGTAGTTTTAATTGCAACTTAGTATTGAAGATGCCATTATTAATTTTGTTTTTACTCTCTCGCTTTTCTACTTTTTAATCAATTTGTATTCCCAATTTTTAGATGTATTTCTTTTTAAGCAATCTGCAAAGCTTAATAGAAACATCACAACAGTGAGGTATCTATAATTGAGAAGCTAATTGCCAAACTTTGAGTTGTTGGCGATGATAAGAGCTGTTTTATTAAATATAGCTGTTTTATTAAATCCAGTTGGTGGTAGTGTAACTCCTAGACTGAGAACCAGTACTTCTGTTTGCGATGAATTTTGCAGCAGTATTTTTTGTTTGTTTATTTTTTTATATAAATTATTCCTTAGAATGCCCGGTGAGGTATGTTATATTCATTTAATATCATCTGATCCCTAAAAACATTTACAGCGTATTGAATGAAAAGAAAAACGATGAAACGCTATCGGAACTATTGTGTGTCGACAACAAGCTACTCACGAGTTAAGAGCCAAAATTGCCGTAATTATTTTGATGTCAATTGCATATAATTACTGTATTAATATTATTAGCCAAGCGAATGCACAAAGTTTTGACAACGGTGCGCTGGTAACAATGCGTTGCGCTTGTCTGCATAATTTGCTGTGAATTCTATAACAGTCAAATGTATTCTTGTTTATTTTATTTGTCAAAGTAAGAAATGATCGATGCTCCTGACTATCGAAATGACTGCAGATATGCATTTCAGGCGCTTTGTTTGAATTCGACGTTATGCATTAATTGTATCCGAGGCTTTAGTAGCGCACAAAATACAGTACTTCAATATTACGTAGCTGTTTTCAATAACGCGACGAAGAAATATGTTCTGTTGTAGTACCACTAGTTTAAATAAAATTCTGTACTTACGAAATTAAAAATGCTCTTTTTAAGGCGAGGAAAACGCTTGCGCCGGTCCTGTCTTTTGCTCGTTGATTAACGCCGTGGGCTTTATCTGTTGCAGCCTCGGTGGGATCGCTCACCATCGGCGTCACCTTCCTGCTGTCGCCACTGGCGGGCGTGCTGGTGGACCGCTTCGGCATCCGCCCCACCACCTTCGTGGGCGGCTTGCTCGCCGCGTCGGGCATGTTCCTGTCCTCACTCTTCGTCGACTCGGTGAGCGCGTGCCTTCCGTCCTGGGCCAATGTTCCAGGGGGGTCACCCCTTCCAATTCTTTGGTTCATAAATTAAAGTGTTTTCTGATTCTGAATTTTAAATAATAGTATATCGGATGTGCAGTAGGTTTCCTTTCGTCCCGGCTAGCTATTCGGACTTTCCACATACTCTTGTCAGCTGCCTTTATCGCCACCCAATGTACATTTTTTTATGTTCCCTTAATTTTCCGGTTTCCTAATAGTGGAACGGAAATATTATTTAAGGATATTAAAGAATAGTAAATCCTCGTCCTAAACGACAATTTTCTTTGAAAAATGTGGAGCCGTTTTTACGAAAATAGCGTTTAAGCGCTACTGTAAATTCGAAATTTAAACATCTTAAAAAACTTGAGTTTTGTAAAGTAAATTGAAGCACTTCCAGTCACAAATGCAATAGAGTTTACAAATCGATGAAAAGGTCCATATTAACGGCGTGAGATGTAGTACCAAAAATATTTGTGTCATTTTTTAAAAAACAAAAAATATACAAAATATATTTTACGTCATATGTAACAGTGATATAAGCACTGGCCGTTCGACAAGTATGTAGAAAAAGAGTTTTCGAAATATTTTATATGACATTATTCAAAGCACGTGTACTCATAAACATATCGACGCTAGCGTAAATATTAACGACGTGAGAGACAAGTAAAAAAAACATTTTGGTAATTTTTGAAGAAAAAAATAGAGAAAACGGATGTTTATGTATTTCTCTTACAGCACGATCCCTACCAAAAGTTAAAAAAAAATGTGGAGCCTTTTTCAGAAATCAGAAAAAAAACTATACTTTAATAATTTTAAAAAACAAAAGAATAGAGCAAACTGATGTTTATGTCATGTCATAGAGTACATTTAGCACTATCCCTAACAAAAGTTTAAAGAAAAAAGTTAGAGCCATTTTTTAGTCTTGTTCTTTGTTTTCTTTTAATTACTTCAATTGCTCGTAATATTGCGCGAAAACTACTAAAAGTTTCAAAAAAATGTACCTGGCCTTCATGAAACAAATAATTATGGACAACAAAATTTTATTTGAAGACAAAATCTCTATTTTCAATTTTGTAGTTGTAGAAAGAAAAAATCAAACGTGTGCAATTTTGTGAAAATTCAGTGTTAACCTTGAAAATTGGACCTTTGCCACCCTTATAATTCCTCCACCTCTATTATTCTTTCAAGAAATTTAAAGAAAAAGTTTGGAACTAGTTTTGAAAAAAAATGAAAATCTTCATGTAAAGTACCCCCAAATTTTGAAAATTTTTTCAAAATCGCGGCGACTCGAAAGGTGCCAGATCGACTGAGAAATATGCATTTCGGAAAAAATCGTACGTATGGTTTAGGCGCTAGTGTTCACAAACTGACAGATAGATGGTCAGACGGACGGACGATTTGCCTTTAATTAGTTTTTCCGTATCAAGGAGCACAAAACAGGGATTCTGGCTACGTGATAGAGATTTTTTTGTTAATTTTGCAACTGGATTTATCCACTTTTTCCTTATTACAACCCGAGAATTAATTTTTTTCCTACTGATAATCATAGTTTCTTCGCACAGCAACTTTCCCTATACTACTTAACTAATCCGTATATACGCATGTATACGGGAAAATGAACTGTGGTGCTAAAATGCACATACTTTCTCGCCCCTTAGTAACGGTTTTGTAATAATACTATACCGCATTTCGGTCTGTATCAACCCATCTCAGTCGATGAGCGCTGTCAACAAAGGGCGCATGTAGCGGTGGGCGCCACCAGCATGGGCCCATATTTTCTTATCAAATGCCATTTTTGCCGCACGTGGAAGGTGGTCCGTAGTTGGTTTGAACATTGTATATATTTCATTAGTTTCAAGCAGAAATTACATAAAACTACTAGTGTTTTTCTTTCTTTCTTCGCGAGATCAGCTAGAACGATTGGGGAATATCAGTTTTGGAGAAAATCGGCTGAACGGTTTGTGCGCTAGCGGTGTGCACAAACGGACAGACAGACGTTTTCCGTCAATGGTTTTTTCGGTATGAAGGACCCACAAAACATGAATTCTGGCTACACCACGTGTTAGAGGAATTTGGTCTATGTTTAGTAACGGGGTTTATGTACTTTTGCGTTACCAGGGCCCGGCAATAAAAGTTTTTGTGTCGAAAATTCGCCATTTTCGGCCGCAAGATTACAGTTTCTCTCCTTGAGTTAATAAATGCGAGAAAGTAAAAACGAGAGAGTTCAGGACAGAACTGAATGATGCGCAATTTTAGGCGATTGCAGTGAAATAGGTTAATTGTGCTAAGCAAAGTTCTTAAAATAGGGATTTCAAGCATTAATCTTATCCAAATTAAAAATAATTTAGATAATAGCTTACAGAGCTAGGGACATTTGAAAATGGTCTATTTGTATGGGTTTAACGTAAAATTGGCCATTTTCGGGCAAATGTAGCACACTGTTTCAGTCAAATAATAAATGTTTGATGATCATAAAACTATTGCGGCATATCGTAAGCATTTCCTTCGCCCAAAAACTGTTGATCAAAATACAATTAAGCTATCTTTATTCGTTTCTAAATAGTAGCTAAAAAAGATGAAACACGGAGTTTATGGGTATTGTCTGTCTGGTGTACATGAACAACACTAGCACCTAACTGTGCGTGCGATTTTTTCAAAACTGAATAAACCCCTCTCGATCTAGCCTGATTCGAAGATCTGGCCGAAGTCGAAAAACATTTATTAATTTTTGGGGATACTTTTCATGAAGTCTCCAGACATTTTCAAAATGTTCTCAAACACGACGAATTTTTTTCTTTTAATTTCTTGAAAGAATAGACTAAAATGCACTTATAAAGAACATAACTCTAATTTTCACGGTTCTCCAAATTTTCGAAAATTGCAAAGGTTTAATTTTTTTCGGGTCTCTCTACAACTTCTGAATTGAAGATAGAGATTTTTCCTTAATATACAATTTGTTGTCCATTTTTTTCTTTCATGAAGGTATGTACATTTTTTTGAAACTTGGAAGTTATTAAAAAATTACATAAAATTAAAAAAAATTACATAAAACAAGACTCCAAAAAATTTCTCTAATTTTTTTCTTTAAATCTTTGTTAGGGATAGCGTTAAATGTACTCTATGACATGACATAAACATCCGTGTTCTCTATTCTTTTGTTTTTTCAAAAAGTATTAAAATGTATTTTTTTTTTACTTGTGTCTCACATCATTACTATTTACTCTAGCGTCGATTTGTTCACATTATTATATTTATGAGTACATGTACGTTGAATAATGATGTATATAATTTCTTGAAAACTATCGTTTTTGGTGTAACCTCGCTCAAAATTCGCATTTTCAAAAACCTCAAACGGCATTTTCTCAAAAATGGCTCCAATTTTTTTCTTCAAAGTTTTTGAACATATTGTGCTAATTGCACTGTTTAATATTATGTAAAGTTCATTTTGGGACATTTTTTTCTTTTTCATAAATGACACGAATATATTTTTTGTAATACATCATATGCCGTTAATATAGACCTTTTTTTATCGATTTGTATTTGCATTTGTGACTGGAAGTGCTTAAAATGACTTCACATGAAGTTGTTTGAAAACTCAAAAATTGTCTATGAAAAAAGAGTATCAAATTTCGAATTTACAGTACAGCCATTCCTTATAAAAGAGGAAAATATGTATAAAATTGAATAATTAAATAAGTTTAAATTTATGAGGTAAACATCTTCTCTAATGTATAAAACGTTAATTTTTTTAGAATAATTTCAGTAGAAAATTAGATTTTCTGACATGTGTTAATCAATTACGCGAACATTTCCTCACCCCTTGCAACAGTTACCGTTGGGAAAGGTGGCCTTTGTGGAGACCAGGTGTACGGTGGGGCGGGGTGTGGGTGATAGAGGCGTAATTAGATTACCAATCCATAGTATTTATATGAAGAGCATATGAACAAACATTAATTCTAGATTAAAATGAGTTTTTTTTTCATTTGTTCTTCTGAATTTCCAAAGAATCGAAAAGAACGATATAAAAATGGTTTCTTAAGAACGATAATAACAAAAGGTCATTTTCAGACATGCAAGAATCGAACTCGGTGGCTTATAGCAGAAACAAGCCAGCATTTTAAAACATGGGAAGGTAATGAATGCTTAAAAATTTTCATTATAATATTTTTATATATTTCATTATAATATTAATATATTCATTACATAATAGAGAGGTAGAAATATTCTCTTATTATTTAAAGTTAATAAACTCCCTATTTAACACACGTACCGAAAGAACAAAGCGATAAAAATGTTAAAATATCCTTGTCAGTTCTATCAGTGTATTTTTTTAAACTTTAATGGAAGTGCACTTCTGCAGTCGTGACTGCTAATATTGATTAGTGACTTCAGTGTGCTCCTGCTGCCAAAAACTTGAAATCCACGCCAGAAGACGGAAGTATACTATTTTCTTTCCCATTTATGAACAGTAGTATACAAGAATTTTCCTAACGATGGGATAAAGTGACAGATCGGAAAAAACAAGTGAACATCATTACTTTTACGAAAACAGAGATCTGCACTGTTATTTATGGTAAACTTAAAAGAAGAGATCCTTTGTTCTAATATTTTTCCATTATATTTTTAATATAATGAACTGTTAAAATTTTGTATTTTATTACTTTCACTTTATATTCACATAGATCCACATTTGGTTGCCTGAGGATGACAGCGTTGCTCGGATCATCTTCAGACTGTACCTTCGAGACTGGATAAATATTGCTGATTTTCTAGGGAAGTATATTCTTGAACCCCAATAATGACAAGCCATGGAGCTCGAAGAGAGAAAATATTTCAAGTTAAAATATAATACTAATTAAAAGTTAACTAAATGGAACACTAATGAAATTCTCTTTTTGTTCCAGGAAACTTCCACTACACAAGGAAACAACAAAATGTTATACATTTTACCACAATAATTAAATAAATATTTCCTACCCCTTGTTAATTTCTTTCTTTAAAATTTGTGTATTGTTTAAATGTTTGTGTATTGAATTTTTGTATATTGTATTATCATTGTAATTTTGTGTACTGTATTATAATTGTAGGTTTGTGTATTGTATTGTGTATTATATTATTATTTAATTTGGATACTGTTTTTGATCATTTTCTTTTCTTTGCCTTAACCTATGTTTTATATAATTCTTTTAAGTAGATAGGATCTATTTTTGTAATATTGTTTATAAATTGTTGCTTTTCTACCATATCTCAGATTTGGTTTCATTGCAAGCTTGCTTGAACTGCATCAAGCAAAGAATTTCTCATTCAGTGTCAACTTCTGAATTCATTAATTTTATGTGAAAAATAATAAATATTAATTTTATTATTGTTATTGTTTATATTAAATTGGTGTCAGTGTAATGGAATAACAATTCCGCACCTTTGGTCAAAGTGCTACATAAATCTAGTGAATTACATATATTTATGTACCTTTAACAGGACATTTTTAATACCATCCATTTTATTCTTTTAACATCAGAGATGTTCTATCGAGATTTAGTATTTATAAATATTTATTTGAAAATGAATGATTGTAAAGGAAACAACTCTCAAGAAAAATTTGTAAAGCTTTCAGTTGTAGATCAAGCCATGCATTGAAAAGCATAACATTTAGTGAAATATAAAAAATCATTAAAACACATTTGAGTTATGAGATCATAGTTACCAAGTTTGATAGTCGGAATGTTTAATTATTAATAATAAAGCGACCCTCAACAACCCAAAGTGTTTGACGCAATTTGCTGGTGAAACGTCCGAGAAAGGTATTTATTTGAACTCCCCTGAAAAATCAATTTGTTCTTTCTATTTTACATTTCGTGGCGAATGTTTTATTTGATATGAATGTGATATACGTTAAACATTCTTCCTTCTATGTAAATAAATTTCTATATTTCCCGGACTCGCGGTGGTGCATATAACTAAGCGATAACTCAGACATCTCGTGCAGTGATGTCTCGCGTGAACCGTAAACAAACCCTACGAAGGGCGTAATAACAGTGATCGCGGCGGAGGGATACTTCTCTAAGTAACGTGATGTTC